CTTGGAAGGGTTGAGCCTGAGTCTGTTCCTCCCCATCCAGACCCTTACGGCCTCCAGGCAACGGGTCATCACGTCAAGGGCATCGTTGGGGTGGCCTGGGGTGGAGATGTACAGCTGAGTGTCATCAGCGTACTGATGGAAATCCACCCCAAAGCCACGGATGATCTCTCCCAGCGGCTTCACATAAATATTGAACAAATGGTGCTGGAGAAGACTCCTGCGAGTCCCCTGGACTGCAAGGCGATCAAACTGGTCAGTCCTAGAAGAGATCAACCCTGACTGCTCTTTAGAAGGCCAGATCCTGAAGTTGAAACTCAAATACTTTGGCCACCTAATGAGAAGGAAGGACTCACTGGAGAAGGGCCTAATGCTGGGAAAGATTGAGGGCAATGGAAAAAGGGGATGACAGAGAATGAGGTGGCTGGATGGAGTCACTGAAGCAGTAGGCGTGAACTTAAATGGACTCCAAAAGATGGTAGAGGACAGGAAGACCTGGAGGAACGTTGTCCATGGGGTCGCGATGGGTCGTACACGACTTCGCAATTAACAACAACATATGCTAGAGGGATTATATAGAGAGGGTTTATATACTATGAAGGGGTATATAAGTCTTAAGTGCTATTGCTATTCATTCATTCATTCTGATTATTTTTTACTATTCATTCATTCATTATTATTATTATTTACTTTCTAGTGGGTAAGCCTGGCCAGCACTCCCTCGTGCCTTGCTCTGGAGATTTAGCGAAAGCCAAAGACATCTTCACCAAAAAGTGAGTCCTTCTAAAACTCTTTGCAGTGTCCTTATCCCTCTCAACACCTCCTTTCTCCTGAACCTGACTTCTTTTTTCTTCTTCTTCTTTTTTGCCTCTGAGGTTCCTAGACAAAACCAAAAACGAATGGGACAAACGGAACAGCTTCCAGAAAGTCTCAGGCAAATACGATCTCCTTCATCTGGACTACGAAGCCAGAGATGCTGTAAGATTTTTGGCGGGAAAGAGCAGGGAGGCAGCTTGGAAATCAGAAAGGTATTTTGCCCATAAGGTCTCCTTTTGTATTCCTGACAGAAGAATTCAGCAGAAGCTGCCCCTGAGAAGACAATCTCTAAGCCCAAGCCAGTTTCCCAGCTGGAGCCACGGGTGCAGGCTTTGCTAGAGCTGATATGTAATATTCGGACGATGGAGGAGATGGTGATCGAGATGAAGTACGACACCCGGAAAGCTCCACTAGGTACGCAAATTCTAGTTTGTCCCTTTTACTTTCATTTGAGCTTACTTAAGGAGGTCGATGTGGCCAAAAGAAACCGTTCAGCAGAGAAAGGAAGGACAGTAGAGTGGAATCATCTTTTAGAAGAAAGGAGAAAGTTTTCCTTGCTTAGGACAGGGCTTTTCAACCAGTGGTACGGGTACCACCTGTGGTACATGGGCACCTGGCAGGTGGTACGCGACCATCCAAGAAAAGTGGTAGTGGGGGAGGGGAATGAGCTGAACCGGGGGCAACACCGCACAAGCCTGAGCGAGAGATGACTGCAGTTGCAGGGCTCTCAGGGCTCAGCAGAAGCGCCAGGATCAGCGCCAGGCTCCAGCTGGAACTCGGCGCTGATCCTGGCGCTTCTGCTGAGCCCAGAAGAAGTGCCGATCAGCTGGAATGTTGCAGCATCTCCAGGGTCTTGTGATTTACATTCAGATGCTTGGCAACTGATTCATATTTATGACCGTCACAGTGTCCCAGGGTCATGTGAAGTGACTAAAACCTGCTGCAACCACCCAGCAGACGGGGGGAATAAAAACCAAACACCCCCCACCCCACCCCTGCTGCCAATCCTCAACAGAAATGCTCACAACAATGAAAACCTCGGACAGGAGGAAGAGCGCCGCCGGGTGGGCAGACAGGTGTCTTGCTTGGCTGTGCCTTGGGGGGCACTTTTTTCAGTGCCATTGTAACTTCGAACAGTCACTAAGTGAACTGTTGTAAGTCGAGGACTACCTGTACTCTTTTCTTTTTTTTGTCATCAAGTTTTTGACACCTTGCTGGTGGTACTCGGATGTTGCCATATCCTAAAAGTGATACAATGGGTGAAAAGGTTGAAAAGCCTTGGCTTATTAACCAGGGTATTTGAGTCAGCATCAGCAGAGATATCACGGAAAGTCCTGCACCACTAACTCCACGTAGAAGAGCAGGTAGATCTAGGTGGTGGAGTTAAGTGTGTCATCAGCTTAGAGTCCTTATATTGTCACAAACAACCCAAGTCAAGTCCCCCTTGAATTCTATTGACTCTTACCTAGCACCAATTTAGTGCTGACCGTTAGTTGACTGGATTCTTATGCATTGGCTTGAAAAAATCTTACGTGCTGCAACTTACTGTACGGTCCTGATCCTTTACGCCTGACATTCCATGTGTAGATTTTTGTAAAGTTTAAACTGCCTGCCTAACTTAGTAATAATAATAAAGTTGGAAGGGACTTTGGAGGTCATCAGGTCCAACCCCCTGCTCAGGCAGGAAACCCTATACCTTTTCAGACAAATGGCTTTCCAGTCTCTTCTTAAAAACTTCCAGTGTTGGAGCATTCACCGCTTCTGGAGGCAGGTTGTTCCACTGGTTAATTGTTCTAAGTGTCAGGAAATTTCTCCTTAGTTCTAGGTTGCTTCTCTCTTTGATTAGTTTCCTTAAAACCCCCTGATTTATTTTTTTTTAATCTTCTGCTGTAGGAAAGCTGACAGCTGAGCAGATCCAGGCAGGGTACCGGTCATTACAGAAAGTGGAAGCATGTCTGAAGCGGAGTCAGACTGGTGCTGCCCTGCTGGAAGCTTGCAATGAATTCTACACACGGATCCCCCATGACTTCGGGTTAGTAGTGCTGATTCCCCTTCTTTGAGTTGTAAGTTGTCCAGGAGGAAAAAAAAACAGTCTACTTTGGCACTACCGTGTTTCTCCGAAAATAAGAGCCATCCAGAAAATAAGCTCTAGCATGATTTTTCAGGATGGAAAATAAGCCCTAATGCATCTTTTGGAGCAAAAAATAATAAAAGACCGGGTGTTATTTTGGGGGAAAGATGATATTCTCATACTTTTCTATATGGATCATCCTCAACTTATGACTGTAATAGAATCTGCCCATTAGAGTTGTAAGTTGTGGTGATCATAAAGTGACTGACCTGATAGTGCAACCTTTTTTTGCAGCGTTTTGGAAGTAGCCCAGACACAAAACCAAAGCCATAAGTCAGTGATGGCGAACCTTTTAGAGACCGAGTGCCCAAACTGCAACCCAAACCCCACTTATGTATCGTCGGGTGCCGGGTGGGTGTGGCCCATTGACTGGGTGTGGCCCATTGACTGGGTGTGGCCCATTGGGTGGGCGTGGCTGCGGTGGTAACAGCAGACTGGGTGGGACTAAAAAGTTCAATCAATCAATTCCAACTTTGCAAGATCTTTTTTTTTCCCTGTGAGAAGTTGAAATTGACTGATTGAACCTTTTTTTTTTTTTTTGCACATGGCGGAGGCCTAAAGCGAAAAGTTTTATAAAACCCAGCTGAAAGCCTAGGACTGGGGCGACAGCACGCGTGCCCACAGAGAGGGCTCTGAGTGCCGCCTCTGGCACCCGTGCCATAGGTTCGCCATCACTGCCATAAGTAGTAATAGTGCCTTTACTCTAAAGTTACAGTGACAGATCTTGTAAGCATTTCCCCCCCCATCCCTTGCCTGTCTGTTACAGAGAATCTAGGTAGGGTCCCTTCTTTGTGGCTTTCTCCACCCTTATACCTTCAGTGGGCTGAGATATCTCTTCTCTGACTGTTGCCCTGGTTACGGCTCTTTCTCCTGTCTCCCAAGGTTATTCCCACATCCATTTACATCTTGCCACTGGTCCAATCAAATGCTGGAAAAGAAATCACGTGCATCCCTGATCAAAGAAGAGTGTTTTGTAAAGAGTGCTTATGAGAAAGTTGCTACTTCCCCAGTTTTTGGTGGGCGGACACCTCCGACTTTCAGCGATCGGCAATTCATCTTTTTAATGCAATTTAAAAAAAAAAAAAGTGTTTGCTCTCATTCTCCCTCCCCTTTTCAGGCTGAAAACACCACCACTAATAAAATCTTTAAGGGAACTCCAAGAAAAGGCACAGCTGCTGGAGGTAAGGAAAGTCCCAATCACTCAAGGGGAGAAGATTAGTGTTGTGGACGTTCTGACTATTAAGATCAAGGGAATAAATAGTTCTTCAGCTTCTGTGCGGAACTGGAAAATGAGGTTGATGGGCATATGTCAGCTTTTCAAGGTAGACTGTAGTCAAGAGAGAGATGTTAAAGGATACCAGTGGTGCTGTTTTATAACAGTATGGGATAATAAGAAGCCTGAAAATCTTTTCAAGTTTTTGTCCCTTATGGTAATAAAAACAAGGAGGGCTTGAGTTTCTTTATCACACTTGTTTCAAGTTCTGAATTATAGTTGCTTCTCTAAGTCCCTCCTTAATGGTTCTTCCATACCAAGGTGATCTCTAAATTTCTTTATATCTGGTGAGGAATGATGGCCCTTTTATGACCTGTGGACTTCAACTCCCAGAATTCCTGAACCAGCATGGCTGGCTCAGGAATTCTGGGCATTGAAGTCCACGAGTCATAAAAGGATCGTAGTTCCCCACCTCTGCTTTACATGGTGAGAGTTTCAAAGCTTGTATTCTTTCAGGCAGATGGGACTACAGATAGTCCTCAAATTACGACAGTAATTGAGCCTTGCAATTACAGTCGTAACTTTCCACCAAGCTTTTTCCAACCTGACAAACTCCCATGTATTTTGGACTCCAGTTCTCACCACATCCGGAAGGCAGTCATCCAGATATCTATCTACTCCAGTGTCCAGGGGCTCCTTCTGAGATGGTTGTTGCCCTATAAAATCCTACACTTGGTGATGGCTGCTCTCTGCTGATTTTCTAGGCTCTCAGTGAGATCCGTATTGGCATCAAACATGTGCAGTCAGAACAGTTGGATCTGGAGCATCCTTTGGACCGGAGCTACAGGAGTCTCGACTGTGAACTCCAGCCCTTGGAAAAGGCCAGTGATGTTTTCCAGGTGTGTAGCCGAATAAGCTAGGAAAGGAAGAACATGATGGTGATGATAGTGATTATNGCGAATAGGCCCCGGACCAGTAGAGGACCGCGGCCCACAGGTTGGGGACCACTGCCTTAAGTCACTTCCTCATGCTGACTGTTGTTAGCCTAAAACAGCCCCTTTTTAGCCATGCTTTCTGGGAATGTTGGGAGTTGAAATCCAGCATGTTGGAACAGCATTTGGTGGGCAAGTAGAAGATTTTTGTAGTCTGGAAAAGACTCTCATTAGACTATTTTTAGCGCAGCAAGAGGTCATCCTGTCTGGTCTTTGGAAGCTAAGCTGGGTCTGGTTTGGTAAGTACTTGGATGGAGCCCTACAGGAAGTCCAAAGGCTGTAGGTCAGACTAGCAAGTTGGAAGAAGACAATTGCATTTTTCAACTGCATGGTTGTCTTTGTGAAGTCACCAGGAGTCAAGCCTAGCTTGAAAGAGGCTTTCTTTTTTAAAAAAAAATCATTCCTTTGTTTTGAATAACCTCCCTTCCTCTTTCCTGCCTTTCCTAAAGGCTCATGTTTATTGTGAAGGAGACGACATTTACGACGTGATGTTAAATCAGGTGAGTGGACCATACCTGTTTTTTTTTTATTTCCAATCGAGAGATTCTGCCTGGTTAAAAAAAAAAAAAAAGGTTGGACTTCAGTTGCAGGACTTCAGTTAATCTCTTGATTTCAGTCACAGGGTCCACCAAATGAGGTCAGACAAGGCCTATCTCTGAATCTCTTGTTCTTAGCAAGAATTATCTGGAGGACAAAACTGTGGGAAGAACCATCTATGCTCTCCTAAGAGGCAGGGAAGACAGAACTAGAAACTACAATGATGTAGCTCAACCTTTTCTTCACCACGGACTCCCTCCTCTTTAAATATTTTTTGTGGCCACAGACCATGGCCATGGACTCCCAAGACTTAATTCAAGATTTAAATCATAATATTTTTTCAAGCCTTCGCAGACTGCCTATGATGACATTGCGCCTCCCCCCAGTGGTCCACAGACCACAGGTTGAGAACTACTGATATAGGTAGTTCTTGGTTTCCAAGCTTATTGATAAATTTGGGCTCCCCACTTCCTCAGTTGGGTTCATATTATCCTACAGAGCAAAATTCCCCTGAAGAGATTGGAGATTGGAGAAATAGTTGTATGAAAGCCTGCTCTTTCATAGATGTTTGTTCAGAAGACATCTAGGAGAGCAGTACATGGCATAGAAAAGGAACAAGGTGTTGTCTCATTTCTGACCAGCTCCTTTTTTTTCCATCTTGGCTTCCTCCAGACAAACCTTCAATTCAACAACAATAAGTACTACCTCATACAACTGTTGGAAGAAGACAATGCACAGAACTACAGCATCTGGATGCGCTGGGGGCGCGGTGAGTTGGGGCAAGGAACTGAGTCATGGAGGAAAGAAGTGAGAGCAAAGCTGACAAACCTGGAGCAGGAGTAGGCCTTGGTTTTAAATAAAAACTAAAAAAAAATCGTTGCTCTATTTCACCTAGCAATTATAGATCTAGGATTGTGTTTCTCAACCTTTGGCAATTTCCAAGGTGTGTAGACCTCAATTTCCAGAATTCCCCAGGCAGCCTGCTGCTTGGGGAATTCTGGGAATTGAAGTCCACACACCTTGAAGTTGCTAAGGTTGAGAAACATGGCTCTAGACTCCTTTGAGGGTCTGGCTGGGGAATTCTGGGAGTTGAAGTCCACACATCGTAAACTGAGATATACAATCAAGAATCTCACTGCCTATAAAGCTATAAGAATTATCATAAAAGCCTGTTGTTTTTTTAAAAAAATGATTGAAATGTTAGTCAATCAAATTTTTGGAGTCTTATGGAATTCTTGGATTTTTCTTAGTTCTAGAATGTGGCTTCACCTCTTCTGTACTCTGTAATGGTCCTTTTGATCATTCCATTCATTCAGTCATTCATTCATGCTGTAGTGGCGCAGTGATTAGAATGCAGTATTGCAGGCTAACTCTGTCCACTGCCAGGAGTTTGATCCTGATGGGCTCAAAGTTGACTCAGCCTTCCATCCTTCCAAGCTCGGTAAAATGAGGACCCAGACTGTTGGGGGCAATATGTTGACTCTGTAAACCATTTAAAGATGGCTTATATGCTAGAGGCATACTAAAAAGCAGAGACATCACCCTGCCAACAAAAGTGTGTATAGTCAAGGCCATGGTTTTCCCAGTTGCAATGTATGGCTGTGAAAGTTGGACCATAAGAAAGGCTGATCGCCAAAGCATTGAGGCCTTTGAAGTATGGTGCTGGAGAAGACTCCTGGGAGTCCCCTGGACTGCAAGGCATTCAAACCGGTCAGTCCTAGAAGCGATCAACCCCGACTGCTCTTTAGAAGGCCAGATCCTGAAGTTGAAACTCAAATACTTTGGCCACCTAATGAGAAGGAAGGACTCACTGGAGAAGAGCCTAATGCTGGGAAAGATTGAGGGCAATGGAAGAAGGGGATGACAGAGAATGAGGTGGCTGGATGGAGTCACTGAAGCAGTAGATGTGAACTTAAATGGGCTCCAGAAGATGGTAGAGGACAGGAAGACCTGGAGGAACGTTGTCCATGGGGTCGCGATGGGTCGGACACGACTTCGCAATTAACAACAACATATGCTAGAGGGATTATATAGAGAGGGTTTATATACTATGAAGGGGTATATAAGTCTTAAGTGCTATTGCTATTCATTCATTCATTCTGATTATTTTTTACTATTCATTCATTCATTATTATTATTATTATTTACTTTCTAGTGGGTAAGCCTGGCCAGCACTCCCTCGTGCCTTGCTCTGGAGATTTAGCGAAAGCCAAAGACATCTTCACCAAAAAGTGAGTCCTTCTAAAACTCTTGGCAGTGTCCTTATCCCTCTCAACACCTCCCTTCTCCTGAACCTGACTTTTTTCTTCTTCTTCTTTTTTGCCTCTGAGGTTCCTAGACAAAACCAAAAACGAATGGGACAAACGGAACAGCTTCCAGAAAGTCTCAGGCAAATACGATCTCCTTCATCTGGACTACGAAGCCAGAGATGCTGTAAGACTTTTGGCGGGAAAGATCAAGGAGGCAGCTTAGAAATCAGAAGGGTATTTTGCCCATAAGGTCTCCTTTTGTATTCCTGCCAGAAGAATTCAGCAGAAGCTGCCCCTGAGAAGACAATCTCTAAGCCCAAGCCAGTTTCCCAGCTGGAGCCACGGGTGCAGGCTTTGCTAGAGCTGATATGTAATATTCGGACGATGGAGGAGATGGTGATCGAGATGAAGTACGACACCCGGAAGGCTCCACTAGGTACGCAAATTCTAGTTTGTCCCTTTTACCTTCATTTGAGCTTATTTAAGGAGGTCGATGTGGCCAAAAGAAACCGTTCAGCAGAGAAAGGAAGGACAGTAGAGTGGAATAATCTTTTAGAAGAAAGGAGAAAGGTTACCTTGCTTAGGACAGGGCTTTTCAACCAGTGGTACGGGTACCACCTGTGGTACATTGGCACCTGGCAGGTGGTACGTGACCATCCTAGAAAAGTGGTAGCGGGGGAGGGGAATGAGCTGAACCGGTGGCAGCACCGCACAAGCCTGAGCGAGAGATGGCTGGAGCTGCAGGGCTGTCAGGGCTCAGCGGAAGCACCAGGATCAGCGCTTTTTCGGGGCTGTCAGGGCTCAGTGGAAACGCCAGGATCAGTGCCAGGCTCCGGCTGGAGCTCAGTGCTAATCCTGCTGCTTCTGCTGAGCCCTGAAGAAGCACCAATCAGGTGGAATGTTGCAGCATCTCCAGGGTCTTGTGATTTACATTCAGATGCTTGGCAACTGATTCATATTTATGACGGTCACAGTGTCCCAGGGTCATGTGAAGTGACTAAAACCTGCTGCAACCACCCAGCAGACGGGGGGAATAAAAACCAAACACCCCCCACCCCACCCCCACTGCCAATCCTCAACAGAAATGCTCACAACAATGAAAACCTCGGACAGGAGGAAGAGTGCCACCGGGTGGGCAGACAAGTGTCTTGCTTGGCTGTGCCTTGGGGGGCACTTTTTTCAGTGCCATTGTAACTTTGAACAGTCACTAAGTGAACTGTTGTAAGTCGAGTACTACCTGTACTCTTTTCCTTTTTTTTGTCATCAAGTTTTTGACACCTTGCTGGTGGTACTCGGATGTTGCCATATCCTAAAAGTGGTACAATGGGTGAAAAGGTTGAAAAGCCTTGGCTTAGGAAACCTGCTTATTGACCAATAATCACAGAGTGTCCTCACAATGGCACTGGAAAAAAGTGACTTATGACCAGTTTTCACACTTACGACTGTTGTGGCATCCCCTGTTGTGGTCAGGTGATCAAAATTCGGGCACTTGGCAACTGGAATGTATTTATGACAGTTGTGTTGTTGGATTGGATTCCAACAAGCAAAGTCAATTCGGAAACTAGATTCTCTTAATGATCAGAGGATTCCCTTAACTGCAGTGATTTGCTTAACAACTGTGGCAAAAAGAGGTTGTAAAATAGGGGGAAACTCTATGGGGGTTCTCAGTCATCCAGGTCATGGTTGTCCCAAAGGTGCATTTTTCAGGAGGCAACTGGACTTATTTCGTTTTTCTTTGAAGACGTTTAGCTTCTCATCCAAGAAGCTTCTTCAGCTGTGACTGGATGGTGGGGAATGGAAAGATTTATATCAAAGAAAAACAAGAAAGTCCAGTTGCCTCTTGAAAAAGCACCTCTGGGACAACCATGACCTGGATGACTTGAGAAACTCATTAGGCATTTAGCGATGCACTTTGGGATGAACACCCTTCAAATGGTGTGGGAGTATGAATGGATTTCCAGAAAACATTGCAGACTACAGGAACCATTTGCACTTCAGTTTGAGATGCAGACAACACAGACTCATCCCCAATAGCCTGCGCCTGTCTCCTCCTCCTCCTCCTCCTCCTCCTCCTCTTCTTCTTCTTCTTCTTCCTCCTCTTCCTCTTCTTCCTCCTCTTCCTCTTCCACCTCCTCCTCCTCCTCCTCCTCCTCCTCCTCCTCCTCCTCCAGGAAGCCAACTTACTGAGTGGCTTGGCTCAGAGCCTCACTCTGTCCAGGTGGGACACAGGGCAGAAAACATCCTGCAGCCAAGTCATTGAGGCCACTTGAAGGCTTGTCTGTGTCCTCAGGGTCACCTGAGTAGTGCAAATGTGTGTGGAGCCTTCTTGGCTGCAGGATGTTTTCTGTTCCACATACATTTGCACTACTCAGATGACCCCGAGGACACAGACAAGCCTCCAAGTGGCCTCAACGACTCTCTAAAAGAAGGCAAATGACCAGCTGTCTGCAAGGAGTATAAATCCTTCCATTCCCCACCATCCAGTCAGAGCTGAAGAAGCTTCTTCGATGAGAAGCGAAAACATCTTCAAAGAAAAAACAAAGTCCAGTTGCCTCGTGAAAAAGCACGCTTAGGACAAAACTCCCTTTAACGGCTGCCTTGCTGAGCATCAGAAATTTTGGGCTCAATTGTGGTGTCGTAAGGCGAGGTCTGCCTGCATTTGCAAGAGTCAGCCGCAAGCTGATAATAAATTGTGGAGTACAACTAACTCACAAGGTAGGCTCAGGAAATGACTACAGCCCTTCTATTGAGGAGGATCATGGCTGAGTGTTTTTGACACTTAGTGATTAACCAGGGTATTTGAGTGAGCATCAGCAGAGATATCACGGAAAGTCCTGCACCACTAACTCCACGTAGAAGAGCAGGTAGATCTAGGTGGTGGAGTTAAGTGTCTCATCAGCTTAGAGTCCTTACATTGTCACAAACAACCCAAGTCAAGTCCCCCTTGAATTCTATTGACTCTTATCTAGCACCAATTTAGTGCTGACCATTAGTTGACTGGATTCTTATGCATAGGCTTGAATAAATCTTACGTGCTGCAACTTACTGTACGGTCCTGATCCTTTACGCCTGACATTCCATGTGTAGATTTTTGTAAAGTTTAAACTGCCTGCCTAACTTAGTAATAATAATAAAGTTGGAAGGGACCTTGGAGGTCATCTAGTCGAAGCCCCTGCTCAGGAAGGAAACCCTATACCATTTCAGACAAATGGCTGTCCAGTCTCTTCTTAAAAACTTCCAGTGTTGGAGCATTCACCGCTTCTGGAGGCAGGTTGTTCCACTGGTTAATTGTTCTAAGTGTCAGGAAATTTCTCCTTAGTTCTAGGTTGCTTCTCTCTTTGATTAGTTTCCTTAAAAACCCCTGATTTATTTTTTTTAATCTTCTGCTGTAGGAAAGCTGACAGCTGAGCAGATCCAGGCAGGGTACCGGTCATTACAGAAAGTGGAAGCATGTCTGAAGCGGAGTCAGACTGGTGCTGCCCTGCTGGAAGCTTGCAATGAATTCTACACACGGATCCCCCATGACTTCGGGTTAGTAGTGCTGATTCCCCTTCTTTGAGTTGTAAGTTATCCAGGAGTGAAAAAAAACACAGTCTCTTTTGGCACTACCGTGTTTCTCCGAAAATAAGAGCCATGCAGAAAATAAGCCCTAGCATGATTTTTCAGGACGCTCGTAATATAAGCCCCACCCCCAAAATAAGCCCCAGTTAAGACCGTCAGCCAGATGGATGTATTTAGTACCGTATTTCCCCGAAAATACGACCTAACTGGAAAATAAGCCCTAATGCGTCTTTTGGAGCAAAAATTATATAAGACCGGGTGTTATTTTGGGGGAAACATGGTATTCTCATACGGATCATCCTCAAATTATGACTGTAATGGGATCTGCCCATTAGAGTTGTAAGTTGTGGTGATCATAAAAGTGACTGACCTGATAGTGCAACCTTTTTTTGCAGCGTTTCGGAAGTAGCCCAGACACAAAACCAAAGCCATAAGTCAGTGATGGCGAACCTTTTAGAGACCGAGTGCCCAAACTGCAACCCAAACCCCACTTATGCATCGTCGGGTGCTGGGTGGGTGTGGCCCATTGACTGGGTGTGGCCCATTGACTGGGTGTGGCCCATTGGGTGGGCGTGGCTGCGGTGGTAACAGCAGACTGGGTGGGACTAAAAAGTTCAATCAATCAATTCCAACTTTGCAAGATCTTTTTTTTCCCTGTGAGAAGTTGAAATTGACTGATTGATTGAACCTTTTTTTTTTTTTTTTTTGCACACGGCGGCGGAGGCCTAAAGCGAAAAGGTTTTATAAAACCCAGCTGAAGGCCTAGGACTGGGGCGACGGCACGCGTGCCATAGGTTCGCCATCACTGCCATAAGTAGTAATAGTGCCTTTACTCTAAAGTTACAGTGACAGATCTTGTAAGCATTTTCCCCCCCATCCCTTGCCTGTCTGTTACAGAGAATCTAGGTAGGGTCCCTTCTTTGTGGCTTTCTCCACCCTTATACCTTCAGTGGGCTGAGATATCTCTTCTCTGACTGTTGCCCTGGTTACGGCTCTTTCTCCTGTCTCCCAAGGTTATTCCCACAGCCATTTACATCTTGCCACTGGTCCAATCAAATGCTGGAAAAGAAATCACGTGCATCCCTGATCAAAGAAGAGTGTTTTGTAAAGAGTGCTTATGAGAAAGTTGCTACTTCCCCAGTTTTTGGTGGGCGGACACCTCCGACTTTCAGCGATCGGCAATTCATCTTTTTAATGCAATTTTTTTTTTAAAAAAAAAAGTGTTTGCTCTCATTCTCCCTCCCCTTTTCAGGCTGAAAACACCACCACTAATAAAATCTTTAAGGGAACTCCAAGAAAAGGCACAGCTGCTGGAGGTAAGGAAAGTCCCAATCACTCAAGGGGAGAAGATTAGTGTTGTGGACGTTCTGACTATTAAGATCAAGGGAATAAATAGTTCTTCAGCTTCTGTGCGGAACTGGAAAATGAGGTTGATGGGCATATGTCAGCTTTTCAAGGTAGACTGTAGTCAAGAGAGAGATGTTAAAGGATACCAGTGGTGCTGTTTTATAACAGTATGGGATAATAAGAAGCCTGAAAATCTTTTCAAGTTTTTGTCCCTTCTTATGGTAATAAAAACAAGGAGGGCTTGAGTTTCTTTATCACGCTTGTTTCAAGTTCTGAATTATAGTTGCTTCTCTAAGTCCCTCCTTAATGGTTCTTCCATACCAAGGTGATCTCTAAATTTCTTTATATCTGGTGAGGAACGATGGCCCTTTTATGACCTGTGGACTTCAACTCCCAGAATTCCTGAACCAGCATGGCTGGCTCAGGAATTCTGGGCGTTGAAGTCCACGAGTCATAAAAGGATCGTAGTTCCCCACCTCTGCTTTACATGGTGAGAGTTTCAAAGCTTGTATTCTTTCAGGCAGATGGGACTACAGATAGTCCTCAAATTACGACAGTAATTGAGCCTTGCAATTACAGTCGTAACTTTCCACCAAGCTTTTTCCAACCTGACAAACTCCCATGTATTTTGGACTCCAGTTCTCACCACATCCGGAAGGCAGTCATCCAGATATCTATCTACTCCAGTGTCCAGGGGCTCCTTCTGAGATGGTTATTGCCCTATAAAATCCTGCACTTGGTGATGGCTGCTCTCTGCTGATTTTCTTTTTCTAGGCTCTCAGTGAGATCCGTATTGGCATCAAACATGTGCAGTCAGAACAGTTGGATCTGGAGCATCCTTTGGACCGGAGCTACAGGAGTCTCGACTGTGAACTCCAGCCCTTGGAAAAGGCCAGTGATGTTTTCCAGGTGTGTAGCCGAATAAGCTAGGAAAGGAAGAACATGATGGTGATGATAGTGATTATGATGTTTTCCATTCAGTCGAGTCCAGCTCTGGGCGATTCTGTGGACCAGGTTTCTCCACATCTTCTGATCTTGCATTCCTTTGAGTTTTTCTATGCTTGGTCTGGTGTCAACTTTTATGGTGTCCAGCCATTGTGTTCTGTGACGGCCTGGTTTCCTTGTACCGCTAACACTTCCAAACATACTTGCTTTCTCCAGTGAATTACCCTGAATTCCCCCTAGCCAAAGTAAGTGAGACACAGTTTCATGAGTTGGCCTTCTATTGACATGTCTGGTGTAATGGGCTCTGGTACTTGCTTGTTGGTCACCTTTTCCATCCAAGGAATATGCAGGAGCTTTTTCCAGCACCACAGCTCAAACGAGTCTAAGAAGAATCTAGATCAGGATCTCCAATCCCCGGTCCGCGGCACGCCAGCAATCCGGTCACACAAACAAGCGAAGCCCCATCCATGGGATGCAGGCAGCACACAAAACCACACCTGCTGCGGTCCACGGAAAAACTTCCACAGAGCCGGTCCCTAATTCCTAAAAGGTTGGGGGCCACTGACCTAGATGGAGCCATTCTGATGGTTATATCTCAGCTCGCTTTCATATCCTTCTTCAGGTACTGGAGCGCTATTTGCTCTCCACCCATGCTCCCACCCACAAGGATTACACAATGACTCTGGTCGAGGCCTTTGAAGTGAACAAGAAAAGCTCAGAAGCCACTTTCCGTTTTGACCTGTCCAACAGGTAAAGAAAGGAGCCGAGGGAGGCGAAATTCAACCTGTCCTTGGGCTACATTCCGAATTGCGTCTTTCATCCTCCTTTCCCTTCTCAGGATGCTGCTGTGGCACGGATCTCGCCTGGGGAACTGGGCGGGGATTTTGAGCCAGGGGTTGCGTGTGGCACCACCAGAAGCACCCATCACGGGCTATATGGTGAGTATCTACTTTAGGCTACGCTGAACCCAAGATTCATTCAACTTAGGGCCACAATCAGGCCTGAGGTCTTTTCCTATTCTTTCTCTTCCCCCAGTTTGGAAAAGGCATTTACTTCGCGGACATGTCCTCTAAGAGTGCCAATTACTGTTTTGCCACTCGCGAGAAAGACATCGGCCTCCTCCTGCTGTCAGAGGTGAGATGACATCTTGGTGAGAGGCTAAAACGTATGAAGAAGGGTTGCAGGAATTGGGTATGTCTAGTTTACGGGTCGGCAACCTGCGGCTCCCAGCCTCCTCTGCCATTTGCAGAGAGAGAGACAGAGAGAGGCACTTGCGCTTCCCTTCTCTCTCTCTCTCTCTCTCTCTCTCTCTCTCTCTCTCTCTCTCTCTCTCTCCTCCTCCTCCTCTCTCCTCTCTCTCTCTCTCTCTCTCTCTCTCTCTCTCTCTCTTTGTGTGTGTGTAAGTAAAAAAGAGAGTGGTCTCACGTTGTTCTCCGACAAGCTGACAAGCTTATTGGGCGGGGCTCGTCCCTTTGCTGCGTCTCTGCAGGAAGCAGGAAGGGCAGGAGAGAGCTAGCTGAATAATGTGTGTCAGCTTGTTGGAGAACAACCTGAAGCCAGCTTGCCAGGTGAGCAGAAGATTGGAGAGAGGGGGGGGGAGAGACAGAGAGAGAGAAAGAGAGAGAGAGAAAGAGAGAGAGAACTCATGCACAGCAGCCTCTATTTCTTTTTAATTAAACTCTTTAATCAAGCTCCCAACCTCTCGTGTGCGCGCGCGCTTGTGCCCGCACGTTTTGTGGCTCCCAGTGTTTTCTTTTCTCTGGGAAACGGGTCCAAGTGGCTCTTTGAGTGTTTAAGGTTGCAGACCCCTGGTCTAGTTTAATAAAGAGGACTAGGGTTGACATGATAGCAGTGTTCTGATATCTAAAGGGCTGCCGCAAAAAAAAAAAGGAGGTCAAACGTAATCTCCAAAGGGCCTGAAGGCAGGACAAGAAGCAGTGGATGAAAAGTAATCAAGGAGAGAACCGATCCAATAATGAGAAATTTCCTGACAATTAGAACAATTAATCAGTGAAACGAAGTTGCTTTCAGAAGTTGTGGGTGCTCCATCACTGGAGATGTTTAAGAAGAGATTGGACAACCATTTGTTTGAAACGGTACAAGGTTTCCTGCTTGAGCAGAGGGTTGGACTAGAAGACCTCCAAGGTCCCTTAAAACTGTTATTCTGTTATTTCTAATCTAGTTACATCATTCTACTTGCCTAATTCTTTGTGCTGGGAGTTAAGTTCATAATCAGGGTACATTTATATATATATTTTTAATGCAGGAGGTTGGACTAGAAGACCTCCAAGGTCTCTTCCAACTCTTATTATTCTGTGGGTTTGCACCTAGATGTAAACTGACTCTCTGGTTTCCTGGTTTGTTTGTTTTTTTTGGCCAGCACCTCAACTGTAATCCCCTTCTTTCTTTGTCTATTAAACAGCATCTATGCCAGGGGTGTCAAACTCGCAACGTCACGTGACGTGTCGCGACGTATCACGACTTTTCCCCCATTGCCGGCAATGGGGTTGGTGCGGTTTCAGTGTGACGCATCTGGCCTGCGGGACAGCAGTTTGACACCCCTGATCTATGCAATACAGGTGAGTCAGCACTTAAGTTCTGTATTTGCTTACAGGTTGCGCTAGGAGAGTGCAATGAACTGTTGGAGGCCGATCCAGAAGCAGAACGACTGCCAGCCAGCAAACACAGTACCAAAGGCTTAGGCAAAATTGCTCCAGCCAGTTGTGTTTCTCTGTGAGTTTGGGATGATGGGAAGGGAGGAGCTGGGATGAAAAATTACTACTTGTCAGTTTCCCCTAACCTGGGAAGATGGGTAGGACACACCCACAACATTTAGCCAGCGCAGTCTGACTGGTGCCACCATGGGAGAGCATGATTTAAGCCAGGGGTCCTCCAACTTGGCCACTTTAAGACTTGTGGACTTCAACTCCCAGAATTCCAGGCTGGGGAATTCTGGGAGTTGAAGTCCACAAGTCTTAAAGTGGCCAAGTTTGAGGACCCCCTGATTTAAGCAATCAAGGAGAGAACTGAAGCCGTGTTTCTCAACCTTGACAACTTTAAGAAAATGGACTTTAACTCCCAGAATTCTGGACTTCTGAGAGATGAAGTCCACATGTCTTAAAATTCCTAAGATAGAGAAACACTGAATTAGAGGGGAGGAAAAAAAATGCTGAAATCTGGTTTTTAAAAGAGGGTATAGTGCAGGGGTAGGCAACTTTGGCTCTTTTATGACTCGTGGACTTCAACTCCCAGAATTCCTGAGCCAGCCATGCTGAGGGGAAAGGCAGAGGTTTCCAAGCTGAGCCAGGCTGGCTCAGGAATTCTGGGAGTTGAAGTCCACGAGTCATAAAAGCGCCGAGGTGGCCTACCCCTGGTATAGTGAAATACAGGTAATCCTCGACTTACATTTCATTTACTGGTCGCTCAAAGTTACAACAGAACTAAAAAAGGTGATTTATGATTGTTTTTCACACTTATGACCATTGCAGCATCCCTGTGGATCACGTGATCAAAATTCAGACGCTTGGCAACTGGCTCCTATTTACGACGGTTGCAGCGTGCCGGAGTCATGTGATCCCCTTTTTGGGACCACCTGAGAAGCAAAGTCAGTGGGGAATCCAGGTTCACTTAACAGCCGTGTAACTAACTTGACAACTGCAGTGATTCACTTAGCAGCTGTAGCAAGAACGGTTGTAAAATAGGCCAAAACTCACTTAACAAATGTCACACTTGGCAACAGAAATTTTGGGCTCAATTGTCGTAGGTCGAGGACTACCTGTCCGGGACACAAGTTTCTTCCACACTCTGTCTCCCTGATTTGGAATACAAAGAAACAAAACGATAACATAGGTAGAATATTTATTTCCTGCTTTTATTATTATAAATCGCATGAAGTATTAATATCACTTTACAATGCCTTGGTAAGGCCACACTTGGAATACTGCATCCAGTTTTGGTCACCACGATGTAAAAAAGATATTGAGACTCTAGAAAGAGTACAGAGAAGAGCAACAAAGATGATTAGGGGACTGGAGGTTAAAACATATAAGGAACGGTTGCTGGAATTGGGAATGTCTGGTTTAAGGAAGAGAAGGATGAGGGGGGACATGATAGCAGTGTTCCAATATCTCAGGGGCTGCCCCAAAGAAGAGGGAGTCAAGCTATTCTCCAAAGCGCCTGAAGGCAGGACAAGAAGCAATAGATGGAGACTAATCAAGGAGAGAAACAACCTAGAACTAAGGAGAAATTTCCTGACAGTTAGAACAATTAACCAATGGAACAGCCTGCCTCCAGAAGTGGTGAATGCTCCAACACTGGAAGTTTTTAAGAAGAGACTGGAAAGCCATTTGTCTGAAAAGGTATAGGGTTTCCTGCCTGAGCAGGGGGTTGGACTCGATGACCTCCAAGGTCCCTTCCAACTTTTATATTATTATTAATAATAATAATAATAATAATAATAATAATAATAATAATAATAATAATAATAATTATTATTATTATTATTATTATTAAATAACCCAAGGCTACGTATGTACCCAGTACTCCTTTTTTCTGTGATTTTCCTCACAACAACCCTGTGAGGTCAGTTGGGTTGAGAGTTGTGTGACTGGTCCAAAGTCACCCAGCCGGCATTCATGCCTAAGCCAGGGCTAGAACTTACCCTCACCTAGTATCTAACTTGGTGCTCTAACCATTAGATAAAACTTATCACATTTCATATTGATTCTGTAGCTTTGTGAGACTTGTACCTCTTTTACAATTTTTAAAAGTCATTGTGGTTGAACAAAATGCTCTTTTTTTGAAGAAGAAGAAAGCCAACATGCAAAGATATACAAAAATACTTAATTTTCAGTCTTGATATTCAAATAGAATAGAATAGAATAGAATAGAATAGAATAGAATAGAATAGAATAGAATAGAATAGAATAGAATAGAAGACTGGGACATGGAATGGGAATGAGAATAGGAATAGGAATGGAATAGGATAGGATAGGATAGGAGACTGGGACCTGGAATGGAATGGGAATAGGAGTAGAGTAGAGTAGAGTAGAGTAGAGTAGAGTAGAATAGAATAGAATAGAATAGAATAGAATAGAATAGAATAGAATAGAATAGAATAGAAACTTTATTGTCACTTTGAATGTACACTAATCAGCATACATTAAAATGAAATTTCATTGCATACAGCTCTCAAAGGGTCACCACCTCCAATATACACTACATATGACAAAAATAAATACAGAATTATGCACACCCCCACAAATATGACACAGAGAAACAACACAGTCTAGTTTGGGTTATGGTTGGATGTCTTTACACTCGCCATTGGCACGGAGCAGCTTAACTTTAATTATATAAAATTAGGGCTTTCTCCTTTTAAAACCTTGGGAATTGACGGATGGAACTGTGGCAGGATCTGCAGGACTCAACACAGTGGCCTTGTCTCTTTCCTTCCTGCCCAGGCATGATGCAACTGTTCCCCTGGGCCCAGCTGTAGAAACTGGGATAGCAAACCCTCGTGGCTATACCCTGAATTACAATGAATTCATTGTCTATGACCCCTGCCAGGTGCGTATGAAATACCTTCTGAAGGTGCGCTTCAATTTTGTACAGCTGTGGTGAATGGGGTGAAAAAAATGGAGAAGAAAAACTGGCATAAGAGTGACATCTTGAAGCATATGGATGGTTCTCTTTCCATGGGACATGTCAAGTGCTTTCTGGCTGAGAGGCTGAGAGCGCAACTCCTGAAACTGACTCTTTATCACGGGTTAGAAAACTTTTGCCGTGTTTTAATTTACTTTTCTGCTATGAAGTTTGCTCCTGAATGACAAAAACTATGCTATGAAGGAAAGCTAATCCTCAGAATTTCCAGGTGGTCGTTATTTTTTCTTGGATGGTCTGAAAATTAGTTCCAATAGAAACACACCAATTTCTTGGATTTTTTTTTTAAATAAAGGAATATATTCACTCCGTTCTTTGGTGTATGTTAGTGATTTGGGGACTTGGAGGAAAATGACAACATTTCTTTGTATCTTTCAATTAGTATAATTTTTATTTTTATATAGCATAGTCCTTCCATCTCTAGTACAAGGCTTTTCAACCTTTTCACCCATTGTACCACTTTTAGGATATGGCAACATCCAAGTACCACCAGCAAGGTGTCAAAAACTTGAGGACAAAAAAAAAAAAAGGAAAAGAGTACAGGTAGTCCTTGACTTACAACAGTTCACTTAGTGACTGTTCGAAGTTACAATGGCACTGAAAAAAGTGCCCCCCCAAGGCACAGCCAAGCAAGACATCTGCCTGCCCACCCGGCAGCGCTCTTCCTCCTGTCCGAGGTTTTCATTGTTGTGAGCATTTCTGTTGAGGATTGGTAGCGGGGGTGGGGTGGGGGGGGTGTTTGGTTTTTATTCCCCCCGTCTGCTGGGTGGTTGCAGCAGGTTTTGGTCACTTCACAAGACCCTGGGACACTGTGACCGTCATAAATATGAATCAGTTGCCAAGCATCTGAATGTAAATCACAAGGCCTTGGAGATGCTGCAACATTTCAAATGATCGGCGCTTCTTCTGGGCTCAGCAGAAGCACCAGGATCAGCACCGAGCTCCAGCTGGAGCCTGGCGCTGATCCTGGTGCTTCCGCTAAGCCTTGACAGTCCCGAAGAAGCACTGATCCTGGCGCTTCCGCTGAGCCCTGACAGCCCTGCAGCTTCAGCCATCTCTCACTCAGGCTTGTGCGGTGCTGCCACCAGTTCAGCTCATTCCCCTCTCCCACTACCACTTTTCTAGGATGGTCGCGTACCACCTGCCAGGTGCCAATGTACCACAGGTGGTACCCGTACCACTGGTTGAAAAGCCCTGCTCTAGTAGACCAAATATTCACTATGCAGGTGCATAAAATGTTTCGAATCTTCAGGGGGATGAGTCAAATTGTTTTAAGTCAGCCACAGTTGTCCCAGAGATGCTTTTTCCAAAAGACAATTGGAGACAACTTGTAGACATTTCTCTTCTCACCCAAGAAGCTTCTTCAGTTCTGACGGAATGGTGGAGGATGGAAGGATTTACTGCAAGAAATATAAATCCTTCCATCGCCCACCATTCCGTCAGAACTGAAGAAGCTTCTTGGATGAGAAGCGAAATGTCTTCATGGAAAAACAAAGTCCAGTTGCCTTTTGAAAAACAGGCATGGAACAACCGTGACCTGGATGACCGAGAATCTCCACAGACAATCAGCCACAGTTATGCAGAACGTAATCTCAAAATGCTTTGGACTTTCTGGGTTCCGGATTAAACAAAATCTGCAGCACAGACCATCAACTCAGGAGTGTTTCCTCCCTTCTTCTCCTTCTGCTGATGTCCTTGGTTTTGTCCTGCTCTGTCACCCAATCACTTCTGCCCAACCAACCAAGACCCATTTTATTCTGGGCCCAGATCGTATGTTCATGCACAGGATGGTGAACGTACCTCAAAATTACTCTTAGCTATGACTTATCTTTCATCTGGGGGCAGGAACCCCAAATACTAGATGTATTATTTGCAGGGCATTTGAACCCCATCATTCCTCCAAACAGATCCATAGAGGTGTCATTAGAATGCCAGGCAAGAATGCCAGGTTTAAGAAAGTCCAGATAAAAATCTTAATTTAGAGCTTCTGGATATGGACATTAAACAGCTGAATAACTCCTCAGCGGCTATTAAGGGAGTTGGAATGTAGCAGGTCGTCCTCAGCTTACAATTCGTTTTGTGACTGTTCAAAGTTACAACACTGAAAATGACTTACTGCCGTCCCTCACACAACCATCACAGCATCCCCACAGTCAAAATGATCAAAGCTCGGGTGCTTGGCAACCAGCATGTAGTTATGATGGTTGCCGGCCTCCCAGGGTCATGTGGTCATGTGGTGGTCTGCGATCTTCCCAAGCAAAATCAATGGGAGAAGCCAGATTAATCACCAAGTGATTAATTTAACTGCACTGATTTACATAAAACCACAGTTAAAAAAAGGTTTATGAAATCGAGCAAATCTCACTTCACCATCACTTTGGTTAGCAACGGAAATTCTGGTCCTAACTGTGGCCATAATTTGAGGGCTTAATGTAAGTTGACAGTGAGCAAATTTAAATTCCAGGTCTGTTTTAATATAATACCTAGTTTCTTCTGTAATATATAACCCAAGAATAGGATGGTCTTAATGCTCTCACAAATATTCGGCGAGAAAAAGTATAATGGTGGCTTGGGCTGAGAGACGGGGCTAAAAAAAAACATACGTAAAGAAAAAAAATACTAAAGACTCACTACATACAGCGAAGGGAAATTAATTTTAATTCAGTTTAAATCTTAGGTGAAAAATCTCTTTGAATTCCATATCAATTTAGGTATTCCCGTGTACACCATGTGGTAACTGTATTCAATCCAGGCTCCGCTATGATCAAGTGGAGTTTGGAATTTTGATTTCTCCTGATTGTAAGGCTCAATCAAAAGTCTCGTGGTTATTAAGCCGCCACCAATCGCAATCCAGGAACCATTTTGAGGTCACAAGAAACAAAAGGGTCATCTGAACAGGTCAGAAGAGGCTGAAGTGGCATTTGAAAGCTCCTCACACAGGAAGGCAGTCCCAATCCAGAAAATAAACACTGCCCAGAGTATCTCCCACCATTACGAGGACCGAAGAGTCCTTCCGAGGGCAGGGCTGGAGACAGGAAACTGGAGCCCGGCATCGGAATTGGCCAATCTGTAACCAAGAGAGGGGGGGGTATAGTAGAAAAGAGACATCAGCAGAAGAATGCAAAATATTGAGTTGGCTTGCAACTTTGGGAGAGAGAGACTGTCTACTTACGGTGAGAAAAAGTCTTAAAATGTTTTTATACACTCCATGGCGGTGTTTTTCAACCTTAGCAATTTTAAGATGTGTGGACTTCAACTCCCAGAATTCTCCAGCTAGCATGCTGGCTGAGGAATTCTGGGACTTGAAGTCCACAAATCGTAAAGTTGTTGAGGTTGAGAAACACTGCTCTATAGAGTTTAGCTAAAGAGGGTAGCATATCTAGACAGCATACTAAAAAGCAGAGACATCACCCTGCCAACAAAAGTGCGTATAGTCAAGGCCATGGTTTTCCCAGTTGCAATGTATGGATGTGAAAGTTGGACCATAAGAAAGGCTGAGCGCCAAAGAATTGAGGCCTTTGAACTATGGTGCTGGAGAAGACTCCTGCGAGTCCCTTGGACTGCAAGGCGTTCAAACCGGTCAGTCCTAGAAGAGATCAACCCCGACTGCTCTTTAGAAGGCCAGATCCTGAAGCTGAAACTCAAGTACTTTGGCCACCTAATGAGAAGGAAGGACTCACTGGAGAAGGGCCTAATGCTGGGAAAGATTGAGGGCAATAGAAGAATGGGATGACAGAGAATGATGTGGCTGGATGGAGTCACTGAAGCAGTAGGCGTGAGCTTAAATGGACTCCAGAAGATGGTAGAGGACAGGAAGACCTGGAGAAACGTTGTCCATGGGGTTGCGATGGGTCGGACATCACTTCGCAATTAACAACAACAACAAAAGAGGGTAGCAGGGGTTCCCTGTCTAACTAGAAATATATACAGTAAATAGTTGATCCAAGTCTTGGTCCTAAAACCAGTATTATTGGCAGATAGAATTTTTGTCTAAATAAATTATGTAAGAAGCAGGGATCTCTAGATTAACTCTAGGCATTCTGGCCATCAAATGTGTTTCAAGTGCATTTGGCATGTGGGAAAAGACACAGTTGGGGAAATGAAACTTGCATTGAGGGAGAACAAGGTGAGACCAGTGATGACATCTGCCCAATTTCAGCCCCGCATCTTCAGAGTCACTCACCAGCTTCATTGTGCTGCCATCCCAAATCTTCACATCCTGGTCACAGGAGGCCGTTACAATCCAGTCTCCCACCAGATGCAAAGCTGTAATTTTGTCACAATGGATCTAAGGAGGAAAGAAGATGAGCTGGAGTAAATTTTAGCAGTTGCATCAGGCCTAGTTGAACAACAGTAATTGGCAGGATCCCCTGTGTGGATTGCCCTGTGACTACGTAGGACAGACAGGGAGGACGCTAACCATCAGATTGCAAGAACACGAGTGAGCGATCAGATGAAGAGACCCAAACTCATTGGTAGCCTCACATTGCAAAGGACAAGGACATACATTCAATTTCGCAGCTATTCAGATTGTTGGCCAAGCAGGTACAAAAATAGCCAGGGAAATGATTGAAGCCTGGGAAACGGAGCCCTTGTCAGTCAACAAGGGTACTGATTTACCACAGCTTATCAGATATTCAGGAGCCAAGGACTTGACAGCACAAGGAAACCACAGCCAACATCTTAATAACCGGTCCTCAACACCCCAATCAACCATTAAAAATCCATACACAACTAGGCACCACACATTGAACAGCTCAACAGCACACATTCTGGTGAGAGAGAAGTTTCCTGAGGATGGGTTCCTGCACGAGTCCAAAAGCTCAGAAGATTAAAGCTCTGATCCTCGTGACTGACCCAAATTGGATCCAGTAACTGGTATCTCTATGTGAAGGAGAACGGACTTGGAATCTGCCCTGGAAGTGGTCATTCCCTCCAGTGTCATGGCAAAGGAGTCGGCAAATGGGAGCAGTAGTGTTGTTGTCAATCAGTTGACTGAGCTGACATGACATCAATTCTTGCTCACGTGGCATAACCCAGGAGAGATGGGCACCCATTTTTCTGAACCTGTCTCACCTTCCTCTTTTGCCAGTCCTTAGATGCGTCTTCCTCTTCCTCTTGATTCTCCACTTCCTCCTCCGCTTCCTCTTCCTCCTCTGCTTCCTCCTCCTTTTCCTCCTCTTCTTTTTCTTCATCCTCATCCTCATCCTCGGTCTCCTGTTCCTCCTCCACCTCTTCCTCCTCTATTTGCGGAGTCTGACTCCAGAGAAATCCCTCCGAGTCGCCATATAATAGTAATTTGTCTTCCAGAAAAAAGGGGAAAAGTGGGATTTAAAATGACCTTCTACCCCAGGGGTAGTCAACCTTGGCTCTTTTATGACTCGTGGACTTCAACTCCCAGAATTCCTGAGCCAGCTAAGCTGGCTCAGGAATTCTGGGAATTGAAGTCCACGAATCATAAAAGAGCCAAGGTTGACTACCCCTGTTCTACCCAGTTGTCTATCATCCCTTTGTGTACCTCGCTGTCTCACATCCCTTTACAAATCAGGGACCCTTTTCTCTGAGGTCCATGCCAGATTCTCTTTGGCAAACATATTATTGGATCTTATGAAATTAACCAACCCACTATTGAATCCAAAGAAAACCCACCTACCACAGGTTTTACATTTGTAATTGTTCGGTTCAGCACTGACCCCGGTGAGTTTTTCTTAAAAGAAATAACAAATACATAGCTCCACGCTCCCTGCCCTGGAGGCTAGAAATATCTATTATACTTCTACCATAAGCACAGAAATTGGGCATGCATTTTCTTTCAAAGAATCTTGAGCAGAAAAAGAAACCAGCATAGACTCACCTCTGACCAGTTTGGCAACGGTGACAAAGCTTGAAGGCTTGTTCGGTGTCCATTTGACGTACTTAATGAATCTGGCCTTTTTATTCTCACTCAATTTCTAGGGGGGGGGAGAAAGCACCACAAAACAAAAACAAAAACACAGGTGAGAGAGACCATTTCAGACCCTGAAAATTCACTCAGGTTAACGGCGGATGAAACTCCTCTTAATTAAACCCTAACAAAGTACTACTGATAGTCCTCAACTTAAAAACTATTTGTTTAATGACCATTCAAATTTACAACAGCACCGAAAAAAAAGTGAGGCAGAGAATCATTAAGGCTGTTGAATATCCTGCGATATTAAAATGGCGTTGATTCAACAAAAGATTCTTTTTTGTCTCTTTACTGGACATCCCAAAGAGATTTTTTTTTTCCCAGAAATCAATTTCATTTGTTGGAGAAAGGAGATGAGTCAGCTTGCTGATTTGAGGAAAGGTTCCGTGGGTACTTTTTATTTCCCAAATCTGTGGGCTTGAAACACCTCCGAACCTCTAATCAATTCACACAATGTGTTAAGCTCACAAGGGTCAACCACTGGGTTTCTACAACATCTTGATCCAAATCCAAATAAATCAAACAATATGGCTTATAGCAGGGCTTTTCAACCTTTTCACCCATTGTATCACTTTTAGGATATGGCAATATCCGAGTGCCACCAGTCGCCTAGCATGATGACCAGTCGCCTAGCATGATGACGTGATGACCCGGTGTCTGGAGGCCGTGAGGGTCTGGATGGGGAGGAACAGACTCAGGCTCAACCCTTCCAAGACCGAGTGGCTGTGGTTACCGGCGCCTCGGCATAGTCAGCTGATTCCATCGCTGACTATAGGGGGCGAAACACTGGCCCCCTCGGATCGGGTACGCAACTTGGGTGTCCTCCTGGACCCACGGCTGACACTGGNACTTGGTTATTCCAGCTTGCAGGACTGGCCTAGGGTAATTTTTAAGGGGGTTTTAATTATATTTTAAATTCGACAAATATTTAATATTCTTTTTAATTAATTTTAAATTTGTATTGTTTTGTATGTATTTTAAATAGATTGTCAGCCGCCCTGAGTCCTACGGGAGAAGGGCGGGATATAAATTCAAATATAAATAAAATAAAATAAAACCATTATTCAGTTTCTTATGCTTTGAGTCAGTACAAGCCATGCCTTGATCAAGTTTCAGATACTTGAAGAGTGCTGTTATAACTCTTTCAGTTTTTCCTAAACATTTTCAGTTACTTCCATCTCTTCAGGTAGAACTTAATTTCCAGGCCTCAGATTATACCTTTCTCTGAACCTGTCCCAATTTATCTGAATCATCTTAAACTTTGGTGCTCAGCACTGGAACAAAATTTAATAGAAGGATAAAGTAGGATAATTACTTCCTCCACTAGGACAACTATACTCTGTAACAACCTTAAATTGCTGTGAATTTTTTTTCTGCACCCACGCAACTCGCATTCAGTTTGTAGCCAATTATTCTTCCAAGATCTTTTTCTAGTATGGCTAAGCTAGGCATATCTCTTCTGTATCTGTGCATTTCATTCTGACTCCTAAATGAAGTATTCAAGAAGCTATTTCATTAAGAACTTTAAAAAAAATGTGGAACACTTGAAGGCTTGGGGGATCTGATGATCTGGTGACACTTTTGCTTTCACTCTCAGTTTGATAAGGGGCAATTAACGTTCCTTGAGTATTTGCATTTTTTTTTTGCCAGCTGTGTACCCATTCAAGGGGCACAGTGGTCTAACCGTTAAGATGCTGAGCTTGTCAACGAGACAATAGGCAGTTTGAGACCCAAGTACTGCATGTTGGGGTGAGTTCCTGTTTGTTGCCCCAGCTCCTGCCAACCTAGCAGTGTGAAAGCATGCAAATGCAAGTAGATAAATAGGTACCACTTCAGTCAGAAGGTAGCAGCATTCCATGTGCTCAGCATGTAGCCATGCTGGCCACATGACCAAAGAAGCATCTTTGAACAATCTTGGTTCCCTCAGCTAAGAAACAGAGATGAGCACCACCCCCCTAGAATCGGACACAACTGGACAAGGGAAACCTTTATCTTTACTTTTTGTACCCACTTAACATTCATAAGTATTAAAAGAAGGCAAGGGGAACATTATGTCATCATGCAGGTGATACAACTTAATAGTTGAAAGAGATGTTGTATCAAGAACAATATAAACATATAAATATAAACAATATGCAACATTTCCATGATGGACTCATACATGACAGAGAGACAGAATTGCCCAGTCTTCTGTTCAAATTAGACCTTAGGTGAGGCCAGCCCACTGTAATCTTTTCATTGAACAACATCGATGTGTCTAACGTTTGAATATATTATAATTTTTCTATGCCTCTTCTGTTCTTGTCCAATGATGTTTATATTTTGCTGTAAACCATTCTATTATCAGCCTGCATGTGTGTTACTTTTTACATCGGAAAATGCTAAATTTTAGCCCAGCAAATCATTTCAATCATCAAGCAAGAAGAATAAGGAGCAGAAAAGGCTTTTTTTTTTAGTTTTTAGTTTTTGGGGAGTGATATAGTGAAGGATCTTTTTTCTTTTAAGAGGGAAAGCAATGACACTCTTCTTGCCAGCTAGTAATAAAAAAGGAAAAATATCCTGTCTCTGCTCTTTATATTAAAGATCTATTAGCATTAAATATCCCATAATCATTCAGAGTAAGCCTCACTATTGAACTGTGAAGTGCAATAAATTAAGAGAGGGCAGATGTCACATTTATAGAAGCTATTATGTGTACGTGTGTGTAGTGACATTCTTAAGATCCATCAAAGAGTCTGGTTATCCAAATTTGACAATGATTTTTATTGATTATTATCATATACTATATATCATGATAATATATTGATATTAACCATTAATTGATTAATATTGGTTTTTGATATTATGAAGTAATTAGGAGTCAGAAATCCATACCAATTTGTCACAAAACAACCAGAGAAGTACTGACTGTTGGACTGAATCATTGTATGCAATTTTAGTTCAGCTGAAAGATACAAGCTGCCCTTGTCACCTCCCGCCTGGACTACTGTAATGCTCTCTACATGGGGCTCCCCTTGAGGAGCACCCGGAGGCTCCAGCTAGTCCAGAATGCGGCCACGCGGGCGGTGTTGGGAGGGACTCGACGCTCCCATATAACACCGCTGCTGCGCGAGCTGCATTGGCTGCCTGTGGCCTTCCGGGTGCGGTTCAAGGTGTTGACTATCATCTTTAAAGCGCTCCATGGCATCGGACCCGGATACCTTCGAGACCGCCTTCTGCCGCAGATTACCTCCCACCGACCGGTACGCTCCCACAGAGTGGGTCTCCTCAGGGTGCCGTCGGCCAGACAGTGCCGGCTGGCGACCCCAAGGGGGAGGGCCTTCTCTGTGGGAGCTCCCACCCTCT